ATAAACACATTTCATTACACAAAATAATGTTATTTTTAGCAACATCATATGACCCCTTTAAGCAAAATCCTTAAAATTAGAAACATAAACTTAACTCAGATTTCTTGCAGAGAACCACCAGCTAACAGCAGCAGCACACGCTCTCACACGCTCTCACACGCTCTCTCTCCTTAATGTGTAATAGTGAAATAATCAGAGCATGACTTTTACTCAAATCTCAAATGAAAGATATCATCACTGCATCAGCAACTCCACAGTTACTGCCTTTAAATAAAGCAACATGCAGCAGAACATCAATGTCTCTCTCTCATCCATGTCTTCCAAACACAGACTCTACTCTTCAGCGCAATGGTGACCCACAACACAAACCCTTTAAATCCCAACAGATCATTCAACACTAATAGATCTCCACCTATATCATTATGTTCACATGTGATTTCACAATAATTTTAAAGTAAACTACTGGCAGCAGGTTTTGCCAGCATTTTACTGTTTTTCTACAGTTAGTTCCTTTAGAAGGATTTGGTAATACTTGAGTCATTACTAGTGGGTTACCATGATCGTCACTTTAGAGTTAATTATACATTATGCATAATTCAAATTAATTATGAACCTGTATATAGCTCTTAGTAGTTCACCGGGATACATGAAAAACATAGTAGTTACTGATTAGCTAATCGTGAACTACCTCTTTCAACTGAGCGCTATTACTTCCTAATCGTTAATCAGAGTTTCTTGTTAGTTAATAATAGTTACTAGAATGTTATTAGTGCATTAGTTACTTGTTCCTGTGAAGTTATTCATTAAAGACAGAACAGTATTCTAAAGTGTTACTGTTTGCTGGATGTAAATTTAATTTACTATACTTAATTTATTACTGTTTAAATACATTTCGCAGATGTGTCTTTTTGTTTCACACATTTAAGCCCTTCAACCCCACAGCAAAATCCTGGAGTGTAGAAAGAGTAAAAGAGTAAAAGAGCTGCAGTTAATGAGATAATTAAGTGATTAATTAAGTGATGATTGTGCATTAGTGATGAACAGCTGCTGTTAACAAGCAGAATCACTGAAGAAAAGAGCAACACAAGAACTACAACTGACTTCAGCCACAGCCGAAGATGAAATCAGCTGAAATAAAAGAAGATAGTAAATCTCTGAAGATCTGATTAAACAACTCCACAAACAGCAGCAGCAGCTTCACACATTACTTTTTTGCCTTCACACATAATCATTCATTTTCAGTGTTGAGGGTAACGCATTACAAGTAACGCGAGTTACGTAATCAGATTACTTTTTTCAAGTAACTAGTAAAGTAACGCATTACTTTTTAATGTACAAGAGAATATCTGAGTTACTTTTTCAAATAAGTAAGGCAAGTTACTTTTTTTCCCCAATTTATTGATTGACAGCTCTCCTGTCCCCATGTTGAGAGAAATCAGAAGATGTTACTGTAGTTCTAAAATAAATATGAATAGGCATTAATTCATCTCACTCACAAAAAAAAAAAATCAGTATTCCTCAAAATTAATAAAAATAATGCAACTCAGAATATGACACAAACCTGCAATAATTAAATGTTAAACAACACAAATATCCTTTATGTATTTAATCCCATTCTATTAACCAATGTCTTTGCTTCTGACCTTCGATGATCCAGTTCAACCGTACTAATAAGCAAAAATTACTCTAGACAAACATTTGTGTGTCTTTTTTTATTGCTGAAGTGTGTTGAAATGTCTTCTTCTGCGTTCTACTGTACGGACGTAAATGTACTTTCCCTTCAGCCTGAGGCTTATTCATTTCACTTTTGGTGTGAAAGGCTTTTATATTTGCCAAAAATAGAATTTTTTTTATTTTAAAAACAAACAAGCAAGCCCTGTCCAGATTTAAAAAGTAACGCAAAAGTAACGCAACGCATTACTTTCTATAAAAAAGTAACTAAGTAACGTAATTAGTTACTTTTTTATGTAGTAATGCAATATTGTAATGCATTACTTTTAAAAGTAACTTTCCCCAACACTTCATTTTCATCAGGAGTTGTGATGTGGTTGTCCAGAAACGCGACAAAAGTTGAGTAAAGTTTAATTTGCGCTTCATCTTACTGTGGCGTCTTGTGATATGGCTACAACACAAATAAGACACAAAAACATATTACACAGATTCTTTTTTTAAATTAGTTTGATGTTGGTGAAATTACTCATCTAGTTTACTTTGCAACTGATCGGCTGTAGAATATCTAGTGACTAGTAGTGAGGACATTTACTGATTATATTGAGAAGACCTGAGGATCTCCTACTTACTGGCAGATTCTCATAATCAGAAGATCCCTACTGGTGAACAGCAGGTGTGGGAGGGACAGTCTATATGAAAAACACATTGATTATTTGATATATTACCTAACTTTTGAATGCACAAGTTTTTGGTATTTCACTTACTGTGAGCGTGTTGTACAGGTCATTAGATCTGGATTTGAGGTCTAGAGCTGCATATGAGCTTGCACTGCGATCATCGGTCTACAGGGAAACAGAGTAAAGGATATATATATATATATATATATGTACATGTGTGTGTGTGTGTGAGTGTGTTTGATGTTTGAATTGTATTTAATGTGACTTAATTGCTGACTTGAACTATGGTTTAATATGGTTTTGATGAATTTAAAGGTGATGACATGTATTTTGTAAGGTCACTCTGTATAATGAGGGCAGATGTGTGAAGGTGGAGAGAGCACAGCTTTCGATCGCACATTGTTTGATTTAACAATTTTAGCCGTTTCTTGCTTATCTGATCATCTCACCTCATACTCTTGTATAGTAGATCTTCTCTTTATCCTTTTCCTGTCAGTAAAGGAAAGTCAAACAAGTAATTTCATTATTTAATATATAATTAATAATCAAACATCCGTCTGTATTAGTTTGAAAGTAAATTGTTTATATACTCTTTATTTTATTTACATTATAAATAGTTATATATATATATATATATATATATATATGAACATGTGTGTGTGAGTGTGTTTGATGTTTGAATTGTATTTAATGTGACTTAATTGCTGACTTGAACTATGATTTAATATGGTTTTGATGAATTTAAAGGTGATGACATGTATTTTGTAAGGTCACTCTGTATAATGAGGGCAGATGTGTGAAGGTGGAGAGAGCACAGCTTTCGATCGCACATTGTTTGATTTAACAATTTTAGCCGTTTCTTGCTTATCTGATCATCTCACCTCATACTCTTGTATAGTAGATCTTCTCTTTATCCTTTTCCTGTCAGTAAAGGAAAGTCAAACAAGTAATTTCATTATTTAATATATAATTAATAATCAAACATCCGTCTGTATTAGTTTGAAAGTAAATTGTTTATATACTCTTTATTTTATTTACATTATAAATAGTATGATGATGATGATGATGACGATGATGATGAATGATCCTCCAGATGCTGCTGCGATCGCAATCATGTTCATATCAGCACCAGGATGAACTGAAAGATGAAGATCATCATAATTAGCAAACAGATGAATGATGTGAAGATACAGGGGTGTGTTAATAAAAGCTTCTGAGCTCAAGCTTTCACATGCATGTTGAAACTGTGAGCATGGTTATGGGTCACCTGGTCATGACTGATTCACTCACATTGACTCTGTTTCAGTTAATGGTGTTCAGGTCTGGACTTCATGTGATCAAGTTCTTCCAGAGTAAATAATTTCTTTATGGGCATATTGTCATGCAGGAGCGAAAAATAGACACTACTGTACTCAAAATATTTGCCTAAGAGATTAAATGACTGTAGATGTGACTGTGAACCTGTTACTGAAAGTCATAGCCGTTAATTACAAAACTGTTAAACGTTTAGTTTGCTTAACCTAACTTTTTCATGGGCTCAATTACTTAGAATATGAAGTCTTTAGTTTCATTTAGTTATTCAGTTATTTGAATTTATAAAGTTTAGTTGTAATCTTGAGAAATTTAATTGATTTGATTTGCAGTCGTTTCATCAGATCGCTTATTTTTTGCAGTAAAAATTATTTTAAATGGGAATGAGAAAAGTGAAAAACAAATGACTGAAACATTTGAAATTGAATTATTTACAATTAAAATTATTTATAAATGTATTTTTATATATTGAAATAAAGTCATTATTTATTTGGTTGAACTAAGAAAATAAGTCAAATTAGGTTAAATGAAATGAAAACTTAACGCTCGTTCATCTTTACTTTCATAAAGTTATTCTGACTAAAGTTCAATTTGTCAAGTTGAAATACTTAATATTCTAAGTAAACACAACTAAACTGAGCCAGTGGAAATTGATAATTCAAAAAGTTTGTTTTGTTTTATTATTATAATTGTTTACAGTAGGTGGAGTCCACAGTGTTTGCCCTTGTAATCAACATGATCTGGAACCTTTAAAGAAAAAAGTACATACACAAAATAAAGTAAATACTCACACGTGACATTGAGACGAGCAGCAGGAGAGATGTAACTGTGTCCATGTAGAGCACAGCTGTATCTGCCTGCATCCTCTCTTCTGACTGACTGCAGCAGGAGTTGATTGTTTCCGTCTCTTCTCTCAGTTAATGGCTGTGAGTTTCTGTACCAGATGAATGTTGCTCTGTCAGTCAGAGTGCAGCTGCTTTTACATGTCAGACTGACATTATGACCCTCTGTCACTCTCTCAGGAGCCTCCACCTGAAGATCTGAACACAACACACACATTATATCTAGTGCTGCTGTCATACACTGATTATTATTCAACATAATGCACAGAAGAAGAGCTCAGCCTCATGAAAGTCACCTGTGACAGTAAGAGTCACTCCTGGATAACCAGTCCATTTTCCATCAGGTTGATCAGTGATGAATCTGAAACAGTACTTGTGTGAATCTTTCTGTGTTACATGACTCAGTCTGATGGTGCAGTTCTGCTGTCTCCTGGAACACCAATCCATTTCTTATCAGGTTTATCAGTTATGAATCTGAAATAGTACATGTGTTCATCTTTCTGTGTCACATGACTCAGTCTGATGGTGCAGTTCTGCTGTTTGTCTCCCAGATACTGAAGCCTCTGACTGTATTCAGGATCCTCAGACAGATCTAGAGGCTCTACATATTTCTCTTTAATATTTGTTTTGATCCAGAATGCTTTCATGATCTGATGTCCAGTAGGGTATGTATAATTGCAGCTCATTGTCACTGTTGACCCCTTCAGTGCACAGATGTGGAAATCTCTGTAATTCACACCCCAGCCATACTGGCCATAAACACCTGGAACACACATGAAAGGGATCGTTCACCCAAAAGGATTCTCTCATGTTGCTCCTCATGATGTCTCAAACCTTTATGCTCTCAACTTTAACAATGGTTTTAATTTAATAACATTGAACATTCTAGTGTTTGGGAGATATTGATTTTTTTTTTTTTTTTATCTCAGCTCTGACTAAAATTGTATTTTTGATTAATAATAATAATATACTGTATATACCTATAAGGCAATATATTGCAAAAAAATAAAAAAAATAAAGTCCTGAAAATTCACAGTAAAATGCTGGCAATAAATAAATAAATAAATCTATATTACCAGTGCATCGTAATTAATAAAAAAAATGGTTGCAAGCATTTAATTATCTGCCAATGCTGGAAACTGATACAGTAAAAAGATCCTGCAGGTCCCTCTAGTGGAGCCCTCTGAGCATCAGAAATGGTTACACTTTATTTTGATAGTCCACTTTAGACATTTGACTAACTATAAGTAACTTTGCAACTACACTGTAAAATCCAATAGTTTACCTTACTTAGATTTAGTTAGTTACCTTTACTTAGTTGTTATACTTACTAGGTTTTATTAAGTTACAGCTACTTTCAAGGCAAATAAAACAATTTACTTACTGTTTTGAGTGACACTTACTTAAAATATTCAAGTAGGCACAAAGGAACCAACTATATTAATAAAGCAGTGAGAGCCAGCAGTGCACTAATATGTTGCTAATGAGCAACATAACAACAGAAGAAGAAGAAAAGAAAAAGAGTCTTAATAAACTTTTCACCCATTTCCTCCATGTCTGCAGTTATGTTTCACTAGTTGCATTCACTCGTTTCCCAAAGTCATCTTGAATGTTGAATTCTCAATACAACTGAAATATTTGAGAGAACATCACATAAGCTAACTTCATAAATTGATGTTGATTTTCCTAAAAAAAATTTTTTTTTAAATCACCATTATAGTGATTAGCGTTCCCTTTGGTTGGGCACTTGGAACTTGGTTTAAATTACTATAATTTTCTTTCTGTTAATGCAGCAATATATAATGAAGTCAGAGTTATTTGATTTCAAAGGAAGAAAAGCAATAAATAGGTTGCTTTTAAAAAGTGACTTATCTTCTAATTAAAGCATTGGTGCATTTATTGTGTGTGTTTATTAAAGAACTTTTATCAAATTTACTTTTTCATAAATACCATGAGATGCTTTTATTTAGGTTTATATAATCCTCAAATAACAACATACTATTCCTATTTCACTTTACTTAGTTTTTTCAAGGCAATCGGTTTGCATGCTTTTTTTAAGTAAGCCCAACTAATTAGATTTTACAGTGTACATGTCAACTAATTATCATTAATTTGCAACTACATGTCAACTAACTCTCAGAGTACACAGCTAGGTTAGGTTTAGGGTTAGTAGAATAAGCTGACATATACTTGCAAAGTTTCTCATGGTCAGTATGCTGTATGTTGTGGGCTCATCAAAGTAAAGTGTTAGTAAAGTGTCATAATAATAATAATAATAATAATAATAATAATAATAATAATAATAATAAAAAGTTTGTGAAACATTAAACAGGGGGTCCAGTGATTTGCAGACCCCCAGTTAAATGAAGTCATAAAGAACAAGCTAATTTCAGAAAGTTTGAGCCTGTTAGTAGAATGTCTAAAGTGGACTATCAAAATAAAGTGTTATCTCAGAAATTCATGAAACTAAGAAAAATGACTTCAAAATGACAGGTTCTCCATATGTATACAGTTTTTTTGATGTGTCTTCTTTGTGCACACAACATATACACGTTACACATAATGAGCCATACCTGACACACGTAAAAAAAAAATATATATCTTCTAAATGGTTTAATAGATCAACATTCTTTTTATAACTTTTCACCTGTTTGATTTTTCAAATAATCTCACATATTTAACGAATTATGTGATTGACACCAGTGGTTCTTGAGGTTAAGTCTTTCAGAATGAGGAGATTTAACATATGATATCAATAATGTGTGTATGTGTGATGCATTGCGTGATATAACTATATTCACACGTTAATCAGAGTAACTCTTACCGTGTTCTGCTGAGTCTGATCTCCAGCAGCCGTTAAACTGATGAATTTCTCAAGGTTTACACTGGTTATTTTGAAATACTTGTGCAAACAATAATGTTCCTTCCTCTTTCTTGACTCCTGCCCACACGAGCAATGGAACAACTGAAGTAACAAACAATTCTGACAGAATTTTATAAACAAAAGCATCAAGTAAAACTTTTTAATGACATGAATCAAAGACAAATTAAACTCTTTCTCTATCTTGACTCTGTCTTTCATTCTTTTTCTGAGTAAATCAGTATATTTTCTGAATTATTTTGATACATTTATTGTGTAAAGGTGGATGGTGTCATTTTGACCACAGACAAATTCACAGTAATGCAGCAAAGTTGATGTATCCCATACAGAAATAGATAGCACAAGTACGTCTGCAAGATGTCTGTTAAAGATCGCTTCATCTGGAAAGCATCTGCTGTGCACAAACATCTGATAGATGTCTTTAAGATGTCAGTTTTACATTAATTCTAATTCATAAACATCTTAAAGACATCTTCTAAACGTATATTTGACATCTGATAGGAAACATCCTATAGACGTACTGCAGATGAGCAATCACTCTAAAAAAATACATCTGGCAGATGTAAATGCAGACGTCAAATAGACGTCTCCGTGATGTACGTGTGCTATTAGGGTATGGTCTAAATCTCAATCGCGTCACCTGTTGTCCATTTTCTTTCACACTTTGCACAGACCTCTAGGGCCGTGAGTCAAACAGGCCCACCAAGTTTCGTTCCAATCTAATATGTGATCAAAATGTATTGGCCGATGACAGCCATGTTTTTCGTGATACATGAATGTCCTTGTAAACCGTCATAACAACTTGGACAAACACACAATTTTCAAGTCAATAAGACTAACGGTCAGGGCCGGCCCGTCGCATAGGCAAATGCTAGGGGCGCCGTTCATCCATAGGGGCCACAGCGCTCAGGGATGGGCAGTATTTGAAATACAAAATCCTATTTTGTTTTTAAATACCTTTTTGCATTTAAATACATTTAATCGTAGTATTTTTGTATTTAGTATTTTTGTATACTTGTTGATCCAGGAAATCAGCAATTCTAATTAAGAGGTTGATTGGCAAAAAGTATTTTTGTATTTCAAAAATACTAAGCTTAAATGTAT